CTCGTGGGTCTGGGCCTGTCCCAGCCGATTCTGCGGGGAAGAGTGGCGGCTGATGGAGTTGAGGCTGCCATGCCCACTGATGGAGCACTTATCTGGCCCTTCCTTGGGGAGGCTCTGGCTCAAGATGGGTTGGGAGGATGGGCGACAGCCAGCTCCCACCCCCGCGGAGGAGGAGTCAGTCAGGGAACTGCTCAGCCCATGGCTGTCGCTCCGAAATGTTTTCCGGATGCTCCCAGGTTCTGGACGCTTCCTTTGCCTTTAATCACAAAGAGAAAGGGCATTGTGATCAGGGAGCCTTGGTCCTGAGGCAGCTGGGACAAGTGGGAGAGGGGCAGGTGTTGGCACCCTGGGACCTCTGAAGGAGAGGGACACAGGGCCCGTACCCTCCTTGGTCTCACCTTCTCTTGTTCTCTCCGTATCTCTGTTCCCCTGCCACCCCAACCTCGGCAAAGGAGAACTGGATACTTACTTGGTGGTTGTAGGCTTTGAGTTCTCAAGATGTAAGGTGCTGCTGGAAAGAATGTCTGGTTAAGGGAAAGTCTCTAATGGAAGATAGATTCGTGCAAAGGCCCCTCCGTTACCTGCTTTGAACAGAAACCTTAGGCCCCAGGTAGGAGGAGAAGTGTTACCATCACCAGGGAGGTAGGACTGCTGGTCAGAGGAAGGTTAACCTTTCTAAATTTTAGCATGTCTCTCGATCCACCTGCAAGACTCTAATCACTCTGGTCTCTGGCAAGAGGATGTTGCTTATTCTGCAGACGTGGAATGGAGCCTTTTTGCAGAGCTGCAGTCCAGTGTGTGCATTTGTCTTGGTGTGCAAACACACCTCCATGGCTCCCACGTCCCCCAGTGCTGGGTTGAGCCCTGACTTTGGGTCTTTTTGTTCCAGACCTTAAGGCTCTCATATAAAGTGGCTGGCAGAATTCTGGGTCTGCTGCATAATTTCATTTTGTCTTGGAATCTGACTTTAAGGGACCTAATCTAAGAAGAAATAAAACTTCTAGTTCAGATGGCAGATGGACTGCTCTAAGCTTGCATCTACTAAGGCAGACTGGGGCTTGGGCAGGCGTTGAGGATTAAAAGAGGAAGGGTTAGAGGGTGACTCTACGGATCTGGGATTGGAGGCATGGCTGATGCTCTAAGTAGGGCTGGTCCCGGCCACTGCTGAGGTCCTCCTCCTCTTTACGTGCCTGGGGCGTGGCCCAGGACTTGGAGCAGAGTAGCCCCTGCATGAAGTTCCCTGCTCAGCAGTTTCAGTCTTGTGAGTCAGCCATTCTCAAGTGGAAAAAGGATGTTCTCGGGCTTAGAAGGCCCTGCTCTAATGACTCCTCCTCTGCAGGTTTCAGGCACATGAACTCCGACCACATCAACTCCCCTCCCTGCTCTTTCAGTGCACCCATGGCCCCACTTCTCAGTTTCCTGTACATTTGGTCTTTACCTTGCCCCCTCATGTGTCCTGAGATCTCTCAACAACCAGCATTAGTGCTTGGCACAACCGCAGATACTCAACGAATGTATGGAATTAAATAGAAACTCCACACCCTAACTGCTCTTCACCGATTTCCCTTTTCCGCCCGAGGACAACTGACTCACAAGCCTAAAAACTGCTGAGAAGGGAGATTTCGGGAGTGGCCACGGTGTGCCCAGTCCTGGGTCAGGCCCTGGGGAAGTAAAAATGATGAGGAAGGCAGAGCTCACGATTTCAAGGAACTCAGCCAGGGGGGGGCGGGGATCTGAGTGCAGTGTGAGAACCAAGAGGTACTCAAGACTGTTTTGGGGTTACAGAGTAAAGGGCACCCAGTCAGCCCCGGGGGACTCACGGGTGTCAGAAAGGCTTCCCTACAGACCTCAGTCTTTGGATTGAGTCTTAAAGGGAGAGGAGGAGTTGAGCAGGTGTGAAGGGCCAGGGGTCACAGTGAACCTGGGGTACTTGGGAAACTGATGGAGCTTGGGAGGAGTGGATGTGGCGGGCAGGAGATGAGGCTGAGAAATGGACACTCCTAAAGACTAGAGGAGCCCAGGGCTGCTGCTTGCCTGCTGACCAGCTGGTGATAGAGGACCAGAGTGATGGGGTTTGTCCTCCGACCAAGCAAGATGCCACCAAGCGAGGAGGTCAAGGGAACTGTTTGACTTTCTACCAGATGTTTCTGTTGACTATTAAGTTGTTGGAAAAGTCATGAGGCATTTTTGCATAGAAAAACACTGAAAAATATGTCACGGCTTTTCCGACGACCCAGTATTTCAGCTATGACTCCCTACAATCCCTTTATACAAATGGCATTGAATTGATGATGGCTTAAAAAATATGTCCCTATCTAATTATCTAACTCTCCCTCCGCAAACTTCGCCTTGGCTTCTGGTTAATTACAGGCTTACAAACTTATGATTGTAGGCTTCTATAATTAACATAGACTTGTAAATAAGGGAAAAATGTGATTAGCCCACAGTTACTTTTTACTAGCTTGCCCTCTCAGCAGGGCAGCATGCTAGAGGGAAATATAAAATCCTCAATTTTTTACTAGTCTGAAGTCAATGATAACTATGCCGAGTAAGTGAGCAGAATAAACCACTTTACTAACTGGAGAGTGAAAGAGATGGAAAAGAGCCACGTGTCCCAACCACTCCCCCTGCTACCGTCTGGTTGGAAAAAAGCCAAGAGATCTGGGCAAGCTGGTGTGGTTTAAAAACAACAAGCATCTTTTATTCTCCTTCCAGTCTCAGTGTCCAGAGGCTATGGTTAACAGGTTTTCAAAGTGCAAATCATTTCATTCCTCCAACGCCAGAGGGGAATAAAAACTGTACATCATCTCCAATCCATAGTCATCGGGAGCGCCCTGGGGCTTGTCATCCTGCTGGCCCTGGGCCAAGTTTCAGGGTCTGGCGGAAAGAGGTCTGTAGGCCTTGGGACTTGGTGTCTGGCCCCTTGAGATGAGATTAGTTCTCCAATAACCTGGATGCCTCTGGGGGAGGCAGCAGCAACAGGCGTGGAATCCCTCCAGACAGCCAGATCGGGCGTGGGGGGAGTGAACACTCCCGGATGTTGCTAACAGCCACAATGAAAGCTGAGGGTCAGAGGTAAGAGCCTGCTGGCCAGGAGTGGGGGTCTGCAAAGGGACTCACAGGAAAGGCTGATACACAGGGCAAAAGCAATAGGAAAAAAATGGAAAATGACTTCTCCTTGGACGGAAGGGCAGGAAGAAAGGGGAGCTTAGGATGGATGATGGGGGAAGAACTTGGGACGAAGCCCCCTGTAAGGACAGAGTGTCTCCTTTCCTCCACAGGAGTGAGTGCAGTGCAGGGGAAGAAACAAACTCGGGATCACCACGTCAACACACCTGGGGTGACATCAGCCTCGGAGAAGACACACGAGACTTTGAATCTTTGGACAGACAAGGGTTAAGGAAGACATCCAAGACTATTATTTGAGTGAGACTTGGAAAAGAGAAGGCACTGCTGAGATATTGTAGAAAACCAAGTTGTATGAAGTGACCAAGCTTTGGCCAGAAGACTGCCAGGAAGGTATGGGCTGACAGACACTGCAGGAACACACGCGGGGCACCCTGCCACAGCACGACGCAGCTGGCTGGGCACCTGGACAGGCCCGAGGCCTGCGGAGGCGTCCTGAGCCCTGTCAGCCTTGCAGCGACGAACACATGCGCACTGTTAGGCTGGGAGAGCCACGAGCCCTACGCACAGCACAGGAATGGAGCGGGGGTTAGGCTGGGGGTGAGGCGGGGTGTTGTTGCGAGTCATTCAGGGGAGCAGAAAATGAAAAGCAGCGCTTACTTGTTGATGTTTGCAAGATAAATATCGGCTACATGACCCCCACTGGGACAGCTGGCCCCCGCTCTGGCTGTCACCTTTTCTTCAGGTGGCTCAGAAATGACCTCAATCTCAGACTTGGGACTGGACCTCTCCACGACACCGTCCTCGCTGGGGGAGAAGGGGCAGGCAGGCAGGGAAGAGGGAAAACAACAACACAAAAAGCAGCGTTAAATCGGCAAGATGGCCCCCCGACACACATATCCCCGCACGTCTCTGAGGCAGCAGCGACACCTGGCTGGGCTAGCTACGTGAGCAGAGGCAGGGAAACCTAAGGGCCTTTGGAGGGCTGTTTAAATAAAAATAAATAATCCGGCTGAGTTCTGCAGGGTCCTCAGCTCCTCAGGAAACTTGCTAGGGGCCCCCTGGAGTCCAGGCAGCTGCCTTCCACCCCATGCTGCTTCCTGGGGCGGCCAGGTTGGGGCCATCTCCCGGAGGAGGAGGAGGCGGCGGCAAGTCCAGGTTGCATTTTATCTGCTGAGGTCCCGAGGACCGCCGGGTAAGGACAGTCAGCTCTGTGGAGGCTCCGGAGATGCCGGCGTCGAGGCAGGCCACCGCCACGCTCTGTCGTAGCGCACTTAGCCCCTCTTAGGGTGTCCAAGGAGGTCCCGGGCCTCTCCACTGCTCTCCTGGTCCCTCTGGCTACTGATGACAAAGAAAGCCCCTTCTCCCCACAATTCATCTTCGCTCCATCCCGCAGTGAAGGCATAATGCTAAATTTGGGAGGGTCCTGTCCACGCACAGATTGCCACCAGGCTTGCGGTGCTATCAACAGAGGCAGGATTTCCCTGCAGAACGCGCCGGGAGAGGCTGGGAGGGTGCAGACTCAGGATATCAACCTTTAAAAAATAATATTAAGGGAAGGACTAAACACACTGACAGCATCGTGTCCAAGGGAAGGGAGCTGGGGCAGGGAGGCAGGCTTGGGCGGGCCACAGTGACGCTGCTTCCGAGCGTGGGGACCAACTAACACCCCGTGCGAGGAGACGGGCGGGCCACAGTGATGCTGCTTCCAAGAGTGGGGACCAACTAACACCCCGTGCGAGGAGACCATTTGTTCCCGGATCTCCTTTTCTCTCCTCACTGCCATCTTCCCCCACATCAGCCTCATTTGGGCTAAATGAACCAGGTCACTTCCAACGAGGTGGTTTAAGCCAGATTTCTCCTAGAAAAACAACCTGTCATTTTTATTTGCAAGTAGAAAAGTGATACCAGCGGCCCAAAGGGTCGGGATGAACACAGTTATTACAAAATCAAAGAGAAGCAAACATGTTTTCCCAACCTGATCTTTCCAGTAAAGATCATTTAAAAATCCTGCATTATCAGGGGCCAGCAGGTGGCGTGGTGGTTAGGGCACTGGATTCCCACACGGCCGACCACGGTTCAAGTTCTGGACCTGATAGCTTGCTTTTTCACTTTCCCTCTCTCTGTCTCTCTCTGGTGAGTGCATATGCCCTGTAGCAGATTAAAAAAATAAATAATAATGATAAATTGAAAGAATAAATCCCATGTTATCACTCATTGGGTTTGAATATGGATGAGTGCTGGCTGGCAGATTTCTAAACCACTGGGCCGGGGTGATCTGCAAGAGGGTCACAGTGGAGGGAATAAAAAAATTTCCCCGCCAAGTCCAAGGGTGGGATAGGGTGGAGTGGGAGAACCTTTAAGGACCACCCTTGCGCCCCCTGGTGGTTATTCCCCATCACACTCCTACAGCCCCCGAAAGGAAGCCTCCCTCCCCATGGCAGCCAGGGCCCACCCCAAAGGTGCCAGGGTCCCCACGTACGTGTCTTGGACCACGATGTACTGGTGGGGGATGAGCCCGTCAATGCCATTGTGCCGGCCTTCCCACCAGTCGTCAGAAGCCCGCTGGTAGAGCAGCAGGGATGCCCCCTTCTTAAAAGACAGCTCTCGAGCTGTCCGGCCCACGTAGTCGAACTTGGCGATGGCCTCGATAGGCTCGCACTCTGAGAGGGGCAGGAAAGAAGGGAACACGTGCTGCTGAGACCTACCCCAGACTCAGGAGACTGGCAGACAAGGCCAAAGAGCTGACTTGACAGTGGCGGGGAGATCACCTAGTGTGAAAAGTAAGCCACGGAGGTAAACTGAGCAGGTCATTCCCATGTCAGCTGTGCCGTTCCTCTGAAAGCACAGGTGTCCTCTCCCTGCCTTGTCCACCTGGGCCCTCCACCTGGGCTCCCCTTCTCGCTCCCCTGCTTGAAAAACACACCGAGACACATCTCAAACACCACCTGCTTCCTGTGGTAACATTTCTGGTGTTTCCATAGCTCTAGATGCTGATCCCTGCCATCAAACTTGCCATATGTTTTCACATTATTTCTTTTCTGATTACAGAACTCCATTCATTGTGGAAAATGTATCCCACATGGCAACCAGCAGATGGCGAAATGGTTACATTGCTGGACTCCCACGACGTCTACTGTGGTTCGAGTCCTGAATCTGGCGACTTAAGACTCACACTGGGCACATGTGCATGCATGCCCAAGATCCTGAGAGGAGAATGGAGGAGAAGGGACTGTAGCGTGGCCATCCCCCTGGGGGGTGATTTCTTGTTTTCTGTCTCTCTGCCTTTCTCTGTTTCTCTGGTGAGCACATGCACCCTAAAGCAGAAATATCTCTTAAAAATAAAGTAAAAATGTATCCCACTGTTTTTTAAGTAATTTATTTATATTACCCATTCTCTCTAATAGAACGTGAGCTTTTAGTCTTGACAAAGAGAAAATAATTTGCCCAATCAATTTTCCAAGGAGCAAATTATGGAAATATATCTTGTGACCCATATAAGAAAAAATGTACATAGAAGTCATTTTGAAAAATAAAAGGAGTTGGGGCCAGCAGGTAGTGTAGTGGTTAAGGCACTGGACTCCCACATGGCTGACCACTGTTCAAGTTCCACACCTGGTGGCTTGCTTTCTCACTTTCCCTCTCTCTGTCTCTCTCTGGTCAAATTAAATAATAATAATAATAAAATAATTCTAAAAAAAGTAAAAGGAGTGGGACCAGCAGTTGGTGTAATGGCTATGTCGCTGGACTCCCATGTAGTTGACCGTGGTTCGAGTCCCGGACCCGGTGGCTTAAACTTACGCCAGGCGTGTGTGCATGAGTGCCCAAGATCCCAGGAGGAGACTGGAGGAGAGGGGACTGTGGTGTGGCCATCCCCCTCGGGGTGATTTCTCGCTTTCTGTCTCTCTGTCTTTCTGGAGAGCGCATGCGCCCTATAGCGAAAACCTCTCAAAAAAAAAAAAAAAAGTAAAAGGAGTTTACAAGTGAATTTTAATTTTTGTGTGGGCTTCTATCTCCTCATCTGTAGAATAGGGATAACACTAGTACCTTTTTCATGACACTGCTACAAGTAGTCAATGCGTTGCAATTTGTAAAAGTGCTTAGAACAGGCCTGACCCATAGTAAGTGCTATGTGTGTGTTAGTCACTGTTATCTTCATCTGTTCTAGGCTGCGGGTGGGGCTCAGGGAGCATAAGAAGACTCCAGAAACTTGACACCTGAGATGAAAGTCAGATATTCTTGGCAGTAGAGAAAAAGGCTGCCTAAAAACAAGACCATGCCTGGGCAGCCCTGGCGGATCTGCTCCTGATTGGGCAGGGTTGTAGATTTCATTACAAATCAGACCAGAGAAGGGCTGTCAAAATATCGCACTCCTGGTTCCTTACAGCCTTGGGGTACAACGCTTAACCTCTCTGACCTGTGTTTTCTCCACTATAAAATAGCAGGGTATCTATTTCACGGGGATAAGGGTATAACACATAAAAAGCCTCTAACGATGTGGAGTGCAGAGTAGGCGCTAACCCAATATTGATTTCCCTAGTTCATCAACACCCTCTCCTAATGTCGCAACTGATCATCCTAGAACATCAGCATCTAAATACACCGTCCTAACACTTTTCTCCTTTGAAACTCAGCCTAGAACTGCAGAATTCCCAGCAAGGCAGGAAGGAGGGCAGGTTCTGCAGACTGTGCCATTTTGTACTCGTTCCCAGAAAATTCGGAGGCCCCTTTTCAGCTTCTAAGACTTCCAGAGCCTGAGCGCTCCAGGAATGGAGGTGTGGAAATGCTGGAAGGAAAGGGGAATGTGCTGGCTGGACAGACCCTCATAAATCATGCGTGCTGCGAGGGCCCGAGGGTGACAGGCCAGAGTTCCAGCCCCGGTGCACACCCTGCAGGCTGCTCTGCGCTCATGTCTGTACTGTACTCTGCAAAGGGTCAGTTCTTCCATTTGGCAGGCACGAGGCTGTTACGGTTTCCTGTACCCTCAAGCCCCCTCCCCTCTGGCTTGTTTCTGGTGGGTCCTTGATCTTCGGCTTCCCTATTCCGCAGGCTCACTGTTTTCCAAATGAGTTCTCCTTGTTGGTCTCCAGCCATCCACAGGAGTCTGGCTGTGATAAGGGACCCATATCATGTTGGATCCAGGCCAGACAGGGAACTGGGAAGTAGGGCAAGAAGGGTGAAAGGCTCGTTCTTCACCTCTGGTTTCATTCAGAGACCATTCTCTCTGGGCAAGCGGGCTCTCTCTCCAAAGAAGAAATGAAAATGAGAGACAGGGGTGCCTTCTGCCTGTCCTCGGGGACCACTGAGCAGGAAGCCTCATCAGCACACAGGATGTCTAATCATTTCCTCTGCTTTACCTCCCCGGGCCCCCGTGACCAAGAGCGGGGCCCCCTACCGTCATCACTTGTGTGGTGCTCTGTGGTCACATCCTGGGTTGAGTCTTCAGCCGAGGTAGTCTCTCCGTGAGGGCTATCACTGCAAGAGAAGAGTGACCGGGACATCAGGATTTGTTTACCAAACTCTCGTCTTCCTCTTTGGATAACGTCCTTGGCACAAGGGCACGGACTCCACCTTCTGCTCTCTGTACCCTAACAGCACACACCAGACAGATGCTCGTGAGGAAATACAAGGCTACCAGGGTTCTTCTTGAGACTACTAGAGATTTAGATCATTTGGGGAAGGAAAAAAAAAAAAAAACCCTTTTGAATTTATATAATACATACTTCAAAAAATACAGGATAATTTCATTCCTCAAGGGCTGCTTCTCTATGTGAATTCCTTGCTGGTTCTCAAGGAGGAGCCATGACAGAAAGGAAGCACTGCATTTTACAGTTAATACAACTGGATCTGAAATCCAGCTCTGACCCACGGTAGCTGTGTGACCCTAGGCAAGTTACTTAATCTCTTTAAGCCTCAACTACCTCGGCTCTCCACTGAGGGTAATGATGTGAACACCTTACAGAGCGGCTCTCCACTGAGGGCAATGATGTGAACACCTCACAGAGCGTATGAGAATTGGGTAAAATCATGTAGCGGCGTTTGGCACAGAGGGAGGGGCTTCCTAGGTGGCGCTTCCTTTCTTCTTTCTCCTTTTGCCTGCCAGTTGGTTGCTTTGTGGTTCAGCCCACCTACTGGTGAGAAATGCGGGGTGAGTCACAGGAGGGGTAGGAAACAGAAGTCAGGGAAGAAGAATCTGCTGTGGGCTCGACTCAGACTCTGCAAGAAGGTAGAAGATAGACACTGGGTCAAGTTCTTCAAAAACCTCATGGAATCAAAATGATCTAGGATCAAGAGAACCAAGCCTGGCCAGGGAAGTTACTAGGCAAGTCATTTCTACTCCTGATCTCCATGTTTGTGGACTTCAGAGTACGTGGGGAGGGCCATCAAGAATTTACTTCTGGAAAAGTAGAGAACTCCTGTTCATCCTACAGTTTCTCTCTCTGGCAGTGGGTTGTAACCAGCAGGCCCTTCCGGGTAGTTCTGTAGCAGCCCCATGGCCCACACAACCCACAGCCTGGCTGCAGTTTCTACCTTCGAGCCCCATGGCCCCTCCCACCCCATATGATGGGTCCTCCATTCCTGGGAAGTTCCTTAAAGACCAGGTGACCAGTTCAGACTCAGGCCATACGGAATAAGTCAGTTTCAAGGAAGCTTCCAGACTCTGGACAACATCAATAGGGATTCTTCTTTGTCAAAAAATGTAGGCAGAATTTCTCACTGTATTCTGGGCCTAAAAGCCCTCTAATGAGTTTGACGATGTTCTGGAAAGCCTTGGGCCCTCCAGAGGTGCATAGGGCAAAGGCAAACTTCACCCCAAGGCTTTGAGTTCATGTCCATGGCCATCTACCAAGGCAAGAGTTCTAAAAATCCAGGGAGCCCTGGAGGACTCTTTACAAAACAGATTTCTCTGCTCCCAGATTTTCTAAGTCAGTAGGTCTGGGTGGAGAAGGGACTTGCATTTCTAATGTGTCCCATGTGACATAGGTGCTGTGGTCCAAGAGTCCTACTTTGAAGACTGCTGCTCTGTGGTGAAGGCATGATGATGCTTTTCAAGGTCCCTTCTAGGCCTAAAATCATCCCATGCTTCTCAAGTTCCACACCCCTATCCAGCAGCACTCCACAGGCCACTGGTACCTGAGGTCTCAGATGAAGCCCACCATGCCACCCAGCAGGCAGTCCTAGGACACTGGGTTCCAGTTTTGGGGCTGGAAAACATGGTGAGATGGATGTGGCTCTCCTCCCACAGTGGCCTGGAGGCCAAATGGCCTGGTGCTCCTTCCCTGTTCTTCTGGTTCCTCAGATTCTCAGGCTCCACCTTCCCTTTTGCTACCCCTTGCTCACCTCCTGTATCAGAGCTCACTCTGCTAGCATGTCTCTCTCTTCCCAAAAAGGGGAGAGAAGAGGCCTGAAGCCTGCTGAGTGGGCATGAATCTGGCAGCTGGAAGTTCCCTCTCAATTCAAGGTCACTGGCTCCCGCTCCATAGGTGCTCCAGCCTGTGGTAGGCTGACAGCTTATGGCTTTTCCAGGGGCTGCTGATAAATGTCGGATGCACAACAAACAGGGGGGCCGGGGAGAACACCTTGGAGAAAGCTGAAGGTGCCACCTGCCTGTCTGTGCCCATGAACCACGCCGTCTGGGGCTCTGTCTGCTCCACTGAGCTGGGATCAGGGCAGCGCTTGGGGGCAGACATTCGGCCTAACCCTGGAAGGAGGTTAAGGCAAAAATTGGGAACACTACAACCCTTTGCCACTCAGGCAAGGGGGACTCGACTTTCCATGTCACATGCCTGGAGCTCACTGGGCAGTTGGCTGAGCCCTGCACTGAACATGAACCTCTGTGGTCACCACCAACCACCTGCCAATGACGAAAAGCCTTATCTCCAAGCCGGCTGGCCTGGGTTCCTCCAGCTTGGCTCCAACACCCAGCACAGTAGAGAAGGGTGAGGTTGGGCTATCACTGATATTATTGCATTCACAGAAGGATGAATGTCATTGTCTTCAGTCCTGGGGCAGGAGGCTCTTTGGTGGGGATCAGGGAGAAGCATGGACCAATTGGCCTCTGAGTAAACAACCTCCCCTGCCCTCCCCTGCCTCAGTCGATAGCAATGGGGCTGACCGAATTGGTTCCAGATGTTGAATTCAGAAGGAATCTGCTTTGGGCTGGCTTGTGCTTGCAGTTCAGGCTGAAACACTATTTAAGGGAAGAAGGCAGAGGGAGCAGGAGGCGGAGATAAGGGACATTAGGGATTCTGAGGGAGAGGCAGTTGTCTCCAGGCTTAGTGGGCAGTACCATGGTGGGCAGTATAGACAAGAGACTGGGTTGAATCCCCATCACTGTGGTGGCTGGAACACTGTCACTAGCCTCTCTGGATTGCAGAGGCTTCATCTATAAAGTGGAAATGGTGATTTGTTATTTGTCAAATAAATTCATTATTTCCTAGAGGCCTAGCAAAGATGTGTCCTGGTGAGTCCTTGAGGAGCTCTGTGCCCGAGCTAGGTCATGAGAAACCCTGCACTGCAGAATGAACCTGCCTCGGGGAGGGGACGGCACTAGCCTGCTGACCATGCAGCTAGCCCCTCTTTGTCTTCACGGGTTTCTGAAGTCATTCTAAAGTGTCACCTTACAAATTCACGGCCAGAAAATTACACCCCAGGCCTAAACTCTGCCTAGTAAGAATGGGGTTCCCTGGGATCCGGGGCTGTTTATTTCACAGTACACTGCATGGAGTAGAAGCCCGAGCGACCCTGTGGACTTAGGAACAGCATGCAGCTCTACGAACAACCTCAAAGTCTACTTCCCTGGAGATTATCCATATCACCATTGGTGGTGTGCTCATAATTTTCAGAATGTCACAGAAAAAGGGAAGTGGCATGAAAGGCACTTATTCTGTAGGTGGGGCTGAAATCGGAGCCTGCCTATACCACCCCAGACCCTGGCAGCCTGAAAAGTCTGGGAGTGGAGGCTGAAAGGGTCTGGGTGCTTCCCTCTGGTTTTCGCTTGGCCATCTGGCCCCTGTGCCACTGTGTGGTGGTGACGCCCTCCCTCCTCCAGCCCCGAGCCCCCTACCAGTAATCCTCCATGCTGCCTCCTCTGCTGTAGACAGGGCCCTCCAGCTCCCTGGGGTTGGGGAAGATGTTCTCGTGCTGGATGATGATGGTTTTGATCAGCTCATTCACGTGGGCTTGGCAGGACACCTGGTCGTGGCCCTCCGGCACTGACATCAGCGAGGGCCCGAAGCAGATGGCGAGGTTGTAGGGGTCCATCATGTTCTCTTCACTGAACTGTGACAAACTGCAGGAGAAGGGAAAGGGCAAGCTGGAAAGCTCTCACATGAATGCCCAGAAAACACAATTGCAGGAGGCACTGCCAACAGCAAAAGCAGAAGGTCCACAAACTGCCACCTGCCTTCTGTGCGCTAGAGGCCTTCCAGAAAGTCAGCTGGGAGAATGACCGGCAGGATGGTCATTCAGGAGCCAGGGGAAGGCAAGGTGGAGGTACCGGCTGGCAGCTGTAACCCTTCGTCTCTCTCCAGCTCCTCATTCAAGTCCTACTCACCACCCCATCCTTACCCCACACCCGACCTGACCCAGCAAAGCCACCCTGCCTTGAGAACCGGCCGCTTTGCAGGACCGAATATGGTCCCCACTGGCCTCTGGGCTTCCAGAGCAGAAGGAAGTCTCGTGCTGTCCTGGTAGTGGTGTGTCCGAAGACGGGCACTGTGCAGCGTGTGCCTTCCAGCATAGCAAAATAATCACATTAGTAAGGATATTCTATTCCAGCCTCGAGACTTACTTTAAAAAATAGCCAACTGATTAGTTTTGTATTCCATCAGGCAAATTTCTTTCTGGAGCAGCTAATGCAATTGTTTTGCACTTTCATAATATCCTCCTCTATTACTACAGTCGGGATTTATTCAGGAAAAGGTCAGCATGCTGTTCGGCTTCTGCTCGGGCTTCCTCTAGATGCAGGCTGACTTCATTATTGGATATTTATTTATTCTGGGAACTCCCCCTTCTCAGCCAGCAGCTGCTCCAGCCACACCCCCAGCCTTGGCTAAGGACCCAAGGCCTTCGATGAACCACCACGCCAGATGCGTTTCCCATTGGCCCTTGGCTGTCCAGGCATGGAGGACTGGGCCAGCTTCGGATAAATCCCCTCACAGCAAGCAGAGCTGTAAGCTCGGCTGAGAAGTCTGGCCTCCCTTGTGGGCATCAGCAGAAAGTCCCTAGCAACCAATTCTGACATTTCCTGGGAAGAAACTCAAGCCCTCTGATGCCGAACGGAGAGGCCTGAACTCGGCTGTCTTCATCTGAGAAGAGGGTGGAGTTTATTTCTAGAGTTAGCCACATCCAGACTCACATTACAAAGCTACTTTCTCCATAACCCAATGGCTCTCTCTTCTCCTGGGGATTCTCAGATGTACCTGTCCCTTTGAGAACTATTAGGCTGTCAGGAAAGTCATGCTGTATCTTTCTATGCAAAAATGTGTCATGGCTTTCCTGACAACCCAGTAATACTACAGATGCCATTGAATGTCAAAAGAAGAGAGTTGAGGGACCCGTAGTTAGCATAATGGCTATGTCGCTGGACTCCCACGTAGTGGACCACGGTTCGCGTCCCGGACCTGGTGGCTTAAACTCACCCTGGGCGCGTGTGTGTGCGTGCCCAAGATCCTGAGAGGAGAATGGAGGAGAAGAGATTGTGGCGTGGCCATCTCCCCTGGGGGGTGATTTCTTGCTTTCTATCTCTCTGTCTCTCTCTGTCTGTCTGGCGAACTCACGCGCCCTATAGCAAAAACCTCTCCAAAAAAAAAAAAAAAAGAAGAGAGTTGAGAATCACCATTCTCAAACATGATGGAGGCAATGGGGGTGGGGGTGGGGGGAGGTTATAGATCTCAGTGGCTGGACTGCTTCACAAGCGTTCTTAAAGATTTAATTTTATAATCCTTTCCTGAATCTCAAGTTAAAAGGAAGCAGGACTTAAAAAAGTCTAGGGAAAGTTTCTAAATCTACTTCTTGGTCAAAGTACAAGTGCAGAGAGACAGGACAGATAATTACTTTGGTCACCTCCGTGGAGGTAACTGAAGCATAGGGTGTCACTAGACTAAAGCTGTCGCCAGTTCCTGGCTAGCCAGTTTCTAGCGTCATGGAGAGACAGAAAAAAGGAAGGCCCTGTTTCTTTAGTGCGATCTGACAGTTTGGGTTACATGAAAGAAAATCAGTATTCCAGGGCAGCCCAGTGGCTAGAGGGACATCAACTCCAGCTCTGAGAGTCCCCTGTTGGAGCTCTGTGAGAGGCGAGAATGTGACGCCGCCGGAGGTCGGGACCGTTCCATAGGTGGCTACGACGGCCAGAGACTTATGGAGGATGTAGCTTCGTGAGTCCATCCTCCACCTTCCCACATCTATCAATCAGCTTCTTCTGCCCTTTCATGAATCTGGATCCACTTCTCTCTTTTTTTAAAATATTTTTGTCACAGTGTGTGTGCTCACCAGGGGTGGGAGGGGAGAGAAAGTGAGAAATCACCTTCCAACAGGGATGGCCACGCTGCAATCCCTTCTCTTCTATTCTCTTAGGATTTGGGGCACATGTGCACATACACACACTGGCATGTTTTTCAAGTTACCTGGTCTGGAACTTGAACCGTGGAGTCAGCCACATGGGATTCAGTGCCTTAACTGTCACACACCTGCTGATCCAATCCAGATCCCTTTTCTCATTCTCATCGAAGGATCTCATTTAGACCAAAGTCCTTTTATCCTTTCCAGTCTACAATGGGAACATTTTCTCTTTCTTTAGGGGTTAAAGCAACGACTCTTAACTCTTCGGGGGACATGGGCTCTTTCAAGAATCTGACAAAAACTAGCATTTCTTCTCCTCCCAAAACTCATGGACGTGCACATACAAAAGCACACAACTTTATGTAACATATCATGGTGTTAAATCAGGTTGAATCTCTTATCTGAAATACTTGGGACTAGAAGTTTTTGGATTTTTAAAATATTTTTGGAATATTTGTACATGCATAATGAGATATCATGAGAACTGGCCTCCACACTAAACCCAACATTTAAAAATATTTCACACTTATTACACACATAGTCTGAAGATAATTTCATACTATATTTTTGTATTACAGTATTCAAAAAATGTCAGATTTTGAGGGCATTTCAGATTTTGAATTCTCAGACTAGGGATGCTTAACCTGTCATCTCTGAAAACAACTGAGGATATGCCTAGTATGAAATCTCAAACACTGTTGTTGTTTTTTAATTGCCAGAGGGTGTATGCACAGCCAGAGAGAGACAGAGAAACAGAGAGAGAAAGAACCCCCACCACGGTGTGGTCACGCTGCAGTCCCTTCTCCATTTCTCCATCCTGTCAACAATTTGAGCGTGCGTGCACGCGCGCGCGCACACACACACACACACACACACACACACATGCACCACTTGGGGTATTTCTCAAGCCTCTAGGACTATAATCAAACCAAGGTCAGCCATGTGAATTCCAGATCCCTCAAGCCTTAGGCCATGGGAAGGGCCAGAATTTTATTTTTTTTAAAAAAGGTCTAAAATGAAGCCAGCAGGTAGTATAGAGGTTAAGGAGTTGGACTCCCACACGCCAACTGTAGTTCGAGTCCTGGACTCGGTAGCTTGAAAATCATGCTGGGCACGTGTGTATATGTGCCTAAAATCCCAAGAGGAGAATGGGGGAGGAGGGATTGTGGTGTAGCCATTTCCCTGAGGGGTGATTTTTCACTTTCTCTCTCACTGTCTATATCTCTGTCTCTCTCTCCAGCAAGCACACACACCACACCCTATGGCAAAAAGAGAAAAAAGAGAGGAAGAGAGAGAGTGCGAGAAAGTGAGACACACCTTTCCAGGGTGGATGGCCATGAGATCCCTTCTCCCCCATTTGCCTCCAGGGATTCGGGACAGCGAGATTTTCAAGCCACAGGGTCTGGGACTTCAACTGCAAAGTCAGCCATACGGGATCAGGCTGCCTTAGCCTTCATGTCACCTGCTGACCTGCCTGGCTGCTTCTTTTTTGAGGGGGGGAGGAGGTTTTTGCTATAGGGCGCGTGTGCTTGCCAGAAAGAGAGAAATCACTCCCTAGGGGAGATGGCCACTCTGCAATCCCTTCTCCTCCATTCTCTTCAGATCTTGGGCACACATGAACACATGACCGGCGTGAGTTTAAGCCACCAGGTCCAGGACTTGAACCACAACTGACCACATGGGAGTTCAGCAATGAAGCCATTAGGCCATCTGCTGGTCCCTTGACTGCTTCTTGATATGGGACCCTTGATTCTAGTCAGGGAGTAGAAGATAGGGCTGTGGACATATGGCAGGAATTAATTTGTAGGAACAATGACCCATCCTCTTCTCCCAATTGGCATTATCTAACAAGCTGAGGGCTCTAGATCTCAAAATCAAAACCTTAAATTTTCAGATAGCACTAAGTTTTAGACAGCTTGTTTTAAATATATGACACTTCACTAAAAGGCCCTCAACTTCCCAGGCCCCAGAAGTTGGACTTGGCAATCATCAGTAGACTATGGGAAAGATATTAGGCCACATGGCTCATCTTAGGGTTGAGAAGGATGAGGACGAGTTGTATGATTCACCACAACCCCAGGCAAGACACGAGGCTGAGAAACCATCAGACTTAAAGCTTTCTCAAGAGGAGATGCCACAACTTCCCTTTCTACATCTGTGATTCAACAGCCTGCCCTGACCTCCCCACAAGGCTCTTCAAGGGACCAGAAGAAAAAGTTAACTCTGGCTGCTTCTTTCTGGTGGCCCTCCAAAGGCCTTTCCCCATCCTCCATGCTCCTCACATCTCCCCATCAGCTTGCCTCTGGCCCTGTGTTCTGACCTCCTCCCTGGGCAGTAAATTCTGTCCGCTCTCACCTCCTTAAGAGCCTCACTCCAATAGCAGTCCTTGCTTACTGCTCTTTCCTTCATCATTAGGTCTTCTCTACCAGGTCATTCCAGCAAGTATACAAACATGCAACAATACTTCCCATCTTAAAAGCAAAATCCTCCCTTGGGATGGCCCCATAGCCTACTGGTTAAGGAAGCTGAATTCACATGGCTAATGGCTCAAATCCTGGTCCTGGCAGCTTGAGAAACAGGCCAGGCGTGTGTGCATGCATGCCCCAAATCCTGCAGAATGGAGACACGGAGAAGGGATAGTGGTGTGATCATGCTCCACTGCGGGGAGTTTTCTCCCTCTCCCACTCTCTCTCCCTCCCCACGAGCACGCTCTCTCTCTCTGATGAACAC